AAAAGGTGAACTATCCCAAACTTTTGAATGGTTTTGTATGCTCAAAAAGTATATATAAAAATTCCACTAGCTTCAAAGTTGGCTCTAGCTGCATGGTTCAAGTCGTTTTTAAGCATATGTGTAATGTAAAATCTCAATTTATTTTCCCTCAGTGAGCACATACACGTCTATCTTCGGCGTGCTGCAGTTGCTGTGTCTTCTGACGGCTCCAGTGATTGGCTACATTATGGACTGGAGGCTTAAAGAGTGTGAGGAAGAAAACGAGAAACAAAGCGCAAAGTGAGTGTAACCATGAGCCTATAATGCTTCTTTCCGACACCCACCGCCATCCAATTCAACCTGTAATTATTATCTGATTACAAGCTTAATGTGCCATCGCATCTGCAGTAATGCACACTTTGCTTTTCCATCAGGGATCCCACTCAGCCAAAGAAACGGGACAGACAGATCCAGAAGATCAGCAACGCCACCCGTGCGTTCATCTTCACTAATTTGCTGCTGGTCGGCTTCGGGATGACGTGTCTGGTGCCTAATCTTTATGTCCAGGTAAAATGAGAGTGAAACATGAGTCTGGTTTCCTGCAGAATGATATTGTAGGCAGCGGATGGTGAAGAAGTGCTGCAAAGAGGGTTGACATGTTACTGCAGTGAATTGATTGGGAATGAAGAAGCTCAACAGCGCCTCTCTGTGGCAGCATGAAAAGCTAGATTGTCTTTATGTATTAGGAAAAAGTACAAAAATAAAATGTTTTTGCTCTGGAAGAGCATTGAGTAACTCCGCTCTCTTGTTTTGCTTGTAGATTTTGTCCTTTGTGTTGCACACAATCGTGAGAGGCTTCATTCACTCTGCAGTTGGCGGTTTGTACGCTGCTGTGTGAGTATGCTTTTGTGTTTTTGGTGCTGATTTTAACCATGATTAACCCATTACCAGAATAGATAAGAGTAAATATGTAAAAATAGATTTTTGACTTTAAAATAGATCTTTGCAATCCTCAAAATACACATTTTTATTGAATTATTTGTGAAGATGTGTAATATCATATTTAACTTTTAAGTTAAGCATTTTGTGTTGTGGTCATTTGGGGCAACGTGGAGTACCTTTAGGTGACAACGTATTTGTAAAATGATCTATGAAGTTATTGTTTTGGAATTTTGGGAAACATATTCAGCCTCATCTGCATATTCAGCACTGGTTTTTGTTGCTGATATATATTCAGTTTGAAATGTTTTACATAGTAATGTTTATGTTGTTTTGTTAAAAATACATCCCATATTCACAATTTTAGACTTAATTTTGATTTTGAGTAGTCAGGAGTTCAAAAGAAATGTAATTAAAGTTCATTCCATTGAGTTTAACACTGGTAGATCTCATATTATTCTGTTTTTAAAATTATATCACATGATGATATATTGGAAATGTGTTTGTATTTTGCACTATAGTTTTAAACGTGGTTCATTTTTCATTCTTATTTTAAACAATTTTTAAAATAATTTTCACATTTGATATGGTTTTTGTAGCAATTTTGTCCAACTATACATTTATACCGGTTGCTAAAATAATAGTTCTTTATGTCCAAATTAGTGCTGCACGATATTGGAAAAATCGAACATTGCTATTAATGTTTCTTCTGCAATATATATTACAATATGAATATAATTTCACTAGATGAGTTGGAAAGAGTTTAACATTTTAGATTGCTTGGGATGATTCTGTATGGGAGTACATATGCATAAAGTATAAGAATCTTTTTACAAATATAGATAAATTCAATAAAGTAAAAGATACCAATTAAATACACAGCATTTGAATGTTTTACGAAGAGTCTGACAGTGTTCAGGTGTACAGTAATTAAATGATAAATAATCAGTGTTAAATAATACTGCATAGTCTTTGTTTTATAAACAATTCAACCGTTATTCATTTGTCAAAGTTACAAACGGTACCATTTCCTAGGCCTGAATGCTTTAAAAACCCTCACACAGTCACAGGCCTCAAAAAACACTTGCGAAATGATCAATTATAATCCAGACTCCACACTGCATATGCTCATGATGTGACTATTGCGAATGATCACATTGTGATAATGATGCGATATCTTGTGCAGCCCTAGTCCAAATGGACCCAAATGTGAAAACATTCAAAGTACAGATTTTAAATGCATTCTAATGGCTAAAAAAGAGTGGTTTGGTTTATGTGTGCAGGTACCCGTCCTCTCAGTTCGGCAGTCTGACAGGAATGCAGTCCCTCATTAGCGCACTGTTTGCATTGCTGCAGCAGCCCCTCTTCATGGCCATGATGGGCCCGCTGGAAGGAGATCCACTCTGGGTGAGCAAAGAGACTGTTACTAACATTTAAACCAATAGCTCATACAGAAACTAAAGTTCTGTTTTGATTTATACTACATACGATCTGATCTTCACCAGCAATACTATTCAACACACAGACTGTACCACTTCCCCAACGCAGTTCTACTGGTTTAGCTTCACTTGTTAGTACAAAATGTCTCGTTTTCTTTTCTTTAAGCGATTATTCAGGATGTTTTACTTTTTAGAGTAATAATTCATATCAGATGCAATATAATCCCATCAGAGTTTAAAGTTCTGTTTTGATTAATACTATGCATGCTGTTTCAAAACTATTCAAAGCTCTATGCTTTCATAATGAAAGTGCTTCTATGAAAGTGATGTAGTAATGATGAAATAAGTTAGTGAGTAAAGTTTAGTCATGAAGCACATTTAACTTTAGTTTGGCACTGACCAAAGTGCTGAACAAAACCGTAACTCACATTCTACAACAGTTAAATAACAATAAAAGTAATAATTAGAATAATAGTATTACAGCAACAGTGCACAAAAAAGATTAAAAGCCTGGGTAGGCAATAGAATAAAAATGTGTCTTAAGTCTGGACTTAGAAATAGAGAGAGAAGAAGAAGCACTCATAATGTCCGGTGGCAGCTGGTTCCACAAACATGGAGGGAAGGGTCTAAACAAAATCAAATCCAAACACTTATAAGAGATGCATCTGAAGGCATTTTAAGCATTGTGAAACATTTATGCATTTCAGATTAAAATGCATCTGAAAACTGAAAGCACATGTTTTTATGAGGCAGAAACCCTTATTCTACAGTCGCAATGTTCAATGGTGAACTGAACCAAGTCCACATCCAACAATTGTTTTTTTAATAACTGGTCTCACTCAGAATGTACAGTCAGAATTATTAGCCTTCCTGAATTATTAGCCCCCCTGTATATTTTCCCTAATTTCTGTTTAACGGAAATAAAAAAATTCAACACATTTCTTAACAGAATAGTTTAATAACTAATTTCTAATAAATAGAGGTGTGACAAGACGCTTACTTCACAAGACGAGACGAGGCACAGGATCTGCTTCACAAGAACGAGACAAGGTTTTGACACTATTTCTAAAAAATCCTCGATGAAATATATGAATGGAAAATAGTCTTTTATTCAACTAAAACAAATCACAAAATGCAAAACACTTAAGTTGATTTTTTTTTTAAATCAACTTGTAATGAATGTTATTTTACTGTAATTAAAGACAGTAAAGGACATGCAAACACTGCAAAATATTTAGCTAATATATGAACAGAAAATAATCTTTATATATCATCTTAAATATCAGCATATTTGGTGAAAATAGGCCAGCCTGGGTTGCCAGGTGTGTGCAAAGCATGTCACTGTGTGTCACTTTTCACCTTGATGAGAAATCTCATCTCACCCCTACTAATAACTGATTTCTTTTATCTTTGTCATGATAACACTACACAATATTGTGCTAGTTATTTTTCAAGACACTTCTATACAGCTTAAAGTGACATTTAAAGGCTTAACTAGGTTATTTAGGTTAGCTAGGCAGGTTAGGATAAATAGGCAAGTTATTGTATAACGACGATGGATGGTTTGTTCTGTAGACAACCAAAATATAAATATATATATATAGCTTTAGGGGGTTAAAAATATTAAACTTAAAATGCTTTTCAAAATATTAAAAACTGCTTTGATTTTAGCTGAAATAAAACAAATAAGACTTTCTCCAGATGAAAAAATATAATAGGAAACCCTGTGAAAATTTGCTTGCTCTGTTATGAAAATGAAGTGACAGGAGGGCTAATAATTTTGACTTTAACTGTGTGTCAAAATACAGAACCAATTCCATTGTTACGACTTTAAGAGTCCATGTGACTCCTAAACCCATGTTATATTTCTGTTCTGCACAAAAACTCCTATATAACTTACTATTGACCAAAGCCATCCACAAGATTCCAGTTACCATCTCTGACATGATCCGAATATCTCTCTTTCAGTCCCATGTTTGCTGGGTTCACCAAAAACTACCTTTAAATCTCATTGGTTCCTGCTTTTCTCTGCAGGTCAATGTGGGGTTGCTGGTCTTGAGCATGCTGGGATTCTGCTTGCCCAGTTACCTGCTGTGCTACGGCCGAAGGCTGCGGCGAGAGAAAGCCGAGCGTGAGGAAGACCCCAAGATCTACGTCCAGATCAACAACAGCACCAACACCGAGGCATTTGTCTGACTGCAAACGCACAGATGATGACAGCCGACAAAAAGAAGAGCAGGAGGACGATGGGTGGGAAATAAAAACTGGACTGCAGGTCACAAAAAAAAAAACGAGTGATAAACACCTCCCTGATTCCTCCTCCTGTCTATCACACACTCATGTATTCTCAACACTCAAACTGGCACAAAATACAGCCAAAGCAACCAAGAGTCTCACAACGTGCCACACAAACACACACGTTTACATGCAACGGACACTGTGAAAGGCAGGTTTAGAAATTAAAAAAGATGCCCTTGTCCTTGAAACAGACAAGGACATCAAGACTTTGTGTGCTGCCTGACAAGCAAGAAGAGAAAGGCCCTCTTTTCTGAGTTTGATTTCTGAATTTCACACCACGATACATAAAATTAGGAGCAACTTCAAGTGAAATTCTCTCAGGTTTGAGGAAGCCAGCCTGACGAGGCTTCCTGAATAGTGTTACACGCACCACTAGTGTTCAGCTTTATTACCAGTAATCAAGGCGATTCTGCATTTTTAGTGACTGTAAACCCATTTGCGGACTGATTACGAACAATTTCTGTTGCTTTCAGCTCATAAAGCTGCTGAAATGCAAGTAGAGGACTCTATTTTGCAGTTATAAATGACAAACTACCTTAAAGCAGATCAATTCTGCTTAATATCAGTCGCATATGGGTTTCCATCGGAAGTGGGCAGATTTTCCGATTTTAATCTCATTCATATACCAGCATGCTTTGGGCAGCATGAGCATGAAACCGCAGCTTTCTCTGAACTGGGCTGATTTTAAAGGACTGATCTGGCACCCGGGGCTACTGTAATCGAAGCTTCATTTTAGTATGGGAATTGTGCTGTTATTTGCTTTGGCATGCAGATCCTGTACACTTACAGTACGAGCGAGATGCATTTTTGTACATATCAGTCCATTCAGAAGGTTGTAGAAGTCGGAAAGGTTTGGTTTAAGGCCGTATGTTGGGGATTTAGCCTCACGTTTCGATCTGATCTTCACCAGCAATACTATTCCACATCCACACACAGACTGTACCACTTCCCCCGATGCAGTACTACTGGTTTAGCTTCACTTGTTAGCACAAAATAATGTGTTTTTTTCTTTTCTCCAAGCGATTTATTCAGGGTGTTTCACTTTTTAGAGTAATAATTCATATCAGATGTTGTTCACCTGCAATATAATCCCTTCAGAGTTCACTTTATCACCTACAGTATGTGCACTAAGGAGCTGTGTTTACACCTGCTATTAAAATGCATTATTGCTGATCAGATCACTATTAGATGAGGGAGACAGAGTTCCATTTACATCCGGTGCTTAAATCTGTCTCTTTTATCCACTTTCAATCCACTTTCCTTAGTTATTTGAGGGGAAGATGTATATGTTATTATATGACAAAATTAGCATGAACACAAGACAGTGGAAAGAGCCTAAAATCAATCAGGACTGCTTAGATAACATTGTGGTTGGAAGCTTTCGCTTTACGATTTCCGAAAGCAAAGTTAAAATTCTGTCTGGATAGCGTGCTTCATCAATAAAGTATCGTAATCTTTAAGAATGAAGCGGAAACAAGAGCTTCAGTGAACGAAATCCAGTCGAATGTTTTCGACTACCTCAGGAAGAAGTTGAAAGTGGACAAACTCAAAGCTTTAGACCTCGTTTTCATCTGTAAGTAGCGTGGTCCGCTTGTGATCAAATCAGCAAAAACAGATCTTAATACCAGGTGTGAACGAGCCCTCAGTGCACTCTCGGTAAAGAGATTAGATGCCATTATCGTATTTATATATCTTGCACTACAGGGTTCGTGATTACAGAGGTGCTTACGTTAGCCATTACAGAGTATAAGCGTCCTGTTACAACCTCATGCGTACATGAAAACCACGTTCGCCATATGATTTTTATGTATGTCCTCAAGATTTCTGGTCTGGTTACCATTTTAACTACGGTGCTTTAGTAGAATAGAAAAAACAGGAATGATACAGATAGCGAATACAGAATTAAGCTGGCTACTCAACATTGTGGTGATAAAAACTTGAAATTAATTCATAGCGATTCGAAAAAGGGAGATTTTTTAAGACATGCTTGACGACAATCCCTTTGAAAACCCATATCCTTGTAGTGGGTTGCAGGCCAGTATATTGTCCCCTACGAGAAATCATCAAATTGAGTGAAATCAGTTTTTTTCAACTGTAAAATCTCTGATAAATGGTTTCGTCCGACGTAAAATCAATCTAGTTACATTTCCAGTGTCGTAGTTTCTACATTTGATGAACATTTCTCAGCAAATGAGTTATAGTCCACTCACTCATTCACTTTAACAGTATTTCCACTGTAAATGTACATGAAAAGATGAATGCAAGATCCTGGATGAGGAAACAGGACTTGCGCATGTTGTCTTCTCAACAGTTGCCATAAATGTGACCTTACTCTATGACCCCCTTAGAAGAGGAATAGGTCAGATCCACTTCGCAGCATCCACTTATATCTGTCACACTGTTTTTGTGAATAGTTTGTCAGAGCTGAAGTCCTGGATGGACTGCGTTTGCTGGCTTGAACACGCCTGGATATTGCAAGTGAATTCCAATCTAATGCAGTACTGTACTAAGCGCAATGAATGTGAGAGTAAGATCGTTTACTCTCAGGACGAGAGAAGTAGCACTTTTTCTCACTGCCATACCTTAAATTTTCATTCTTTATTCAGTTTTCACGTTGATTTTGGTTTTAAATGTCGGTTTATTATCCCATTATACGTGTATGAGCGTGGAAAAATGCCCACACACACATACACAGATGTAAGAGGGAAGAAAAGAAGAGCTTTAACACCAGTGTTTTCTCTCTGTATGGTATTGTACTTTTATCGTCATTTGTTGATTATTTTGTTGATTTTTCTACCTTTGTAGCTTGTGTTTTCAGTCACGTGTACATGTACATAGTTTTTCTCTTTTTGTTTTGTGGCCGTTTTACTGTACTTGGCTTTTGGGTTTCTTCATTCTATTACTATATAGCACCTTTTTGAATAAATGTCTCAACAAAATATCCAATATGTGAAAATAAAAAACTATTCATTTGTATATGAAGGTTTTTATTTCTGATCATGTTAATACTGTGAGATAGCCGCCGTCTAATGGCAGAGTGTTATGAATTACTGAAAGTTGATATCAATTTCAGTATCATTACAGTAGATGGCAGTGTGGCTTCATTTTCAAGTGCTGCATGTTCTTTATTTTAAATTAGTTTTAGTTTAACTCTTTTTGTTGGCAATTCTCAATCAGAGAGTTATTACAAGTGAGGAGAAGAGAAATCATTCCTTCATTTTCTTTTCGGCTTAGTCTCTTTAATAATCAGAGGTCACCACAGCGGAATGAACCGCCAACTTATCCAGCATATGTTTTATGCAGCAGATGCTCTTCCAGCCGCAACACAAGACTGTAAAACACCCATACACTCTCATTCACACACACGCACACACTACAGACAATTTAGTTTATCCAATTCACCTATAGCGCATGTCTGTGGGGGAACCCGGAGGAAACCCACGCCAACACGAGAGAAGAAAAACCATAATACGATTATTTCACAATATTAAAGAAAAAATAGTGGGTGGTAATTAAATTCCTTAATCTTTCAACCAAATTCAGAGGAAAATAAAAAAACTAAACAACAACAAAATATTATTATTATGTTTTTTTATATATATATTCAAATAGCTGAATTCTGACTGAAGAAAGTTGAATGTGCTGGTTAGTTTTTTGCCTAAGAAATGACAATAGAGTACAGTTTTTAATTTAAAACTTTAATGTAATAACTTTAATCTAATACATTTTTATTTTAAAAATAAGTATTTATTCATATTTCTTTATTCTAAATCCTTAGGAAATATTTTGGTACATTAAAAAGTGTGGTTATGATGACCATCTGACAAGATAATCCAGCTAAAATAGTGCTTAAAATGTCACTAAAATCTCATAAATAAATAGAAAATTAGGCCAATAACTGCAAAAAGGTTCACATTATGAGAAAAAAGAACCACTCCCTTACACCAGGCTGGTACAGCCCTGATAAATGACCTCGAATTAGTCATTTGAATGTTCCTTACAACAATTTCCATAAAGTCATTTATAGTCAGCAACAGAATAACTAAATATCCAGAACTTCTTAAAGGGCTTAATGTTAAAGTTTCTCATATAACTTAATACTAATATGATTTCCATATACACATTGGTATAAGTTTAAAATATCAAATATACTAAAACAAGAATTGATTATATTCTGACACTGTTGTATTATTATAGCACTAGTGTTCAATGATAATTGAGATTGAAGCAAGAATAGTTACTCGTCAGACTGACTGGAAAGGGCTTAATGTTAGTTTTTCATATCAGAAACCTTAATACTAATATGATTTCCATATAGTCATTCATTCATTTTCTTTTCAACTTAGTCACTTTATTAGTCTGGGGTCGCCACAGCGGAATGAACCACCAACTTTTCCAGCATGTTTTATGCAGCGGATGCCCTTCCAGCTGCAACCCATCACCGGGAAAGATTTCTATATATAAATTGTTATAACCGTTTTAAATATCTAATATGTTAAATCCAGAGCTTATTATTCTGACGCTGTTGTATTATTATAGCAGCAGAGTTCAATGATAATTCCCACGGAATGGAGAAAGACTCGTCAGACTGACCGGAAAGTCAGGTCTGACACAGGCTTACATTCAAAGAGGCTACAACAACACCTTCACACCCAGATCATTTCTTCTGAGGTCTCGTCCTAAACCGAAAACCAGCGGAACAAGAACGTCTGCCTTGCATCGATGTGCACGATTTTGTCCCGTGTGTTTGAGTGTTTCCGTCAGGTCGTGCGTCTATTTTAGTGTGAGTTCTACGTGAACTATTTATTATCAGAGCAGGGTGTGGCGCCACGGTCAGTGCGTGCTCTTGGCCAATTAGATCCGTTCCTGCGGCCGTTTTCAAGCCGGTAGGTGTGGTTGCTGTGACGACGCGGCTCTCCTGTCGACATCTTTCAGGAAATGAATTTAAAGAAATGAGAAATCCAGGAACTTGAGCTGAAACGAGTCACGGCGGGCAGATCTGAAGAGTCGACGAGGAAACTCTCTTAAAGCCAGTTTGAATGTTGGACACGGGGCGGCAAAGGAGATAACATGTTGATAAAGGAGTTGTAAGTATTTTAGTGAGATTTAGGTGTGCTGAAGTTTTCATTGTGCGCTGAACTTGGCTTTCAGGCGCGTGCTTGTTAACTTTCGCCGGCTGTTGACTAATGAAGGGGATTTATGTTTCAATTCTGGCTAATTAATGTTTATGTTTTTTCTTGGGAGAGTTCGTTTTTATCAAATTACGTTAGTTTGAATTAAGTTATGAACATTTATTTGGAATTATACTGTGTATATTTCAGTTAGTTCAAAAAGAGCCACATAATGGTTAGCAGACAGCAGTTACTTTGTTTTCTTTGGTCATTACTTTACATTTTGGTCATTTTTGGTCAATTTGCATTATTTGGTCATTGAAGTTACAAAACTTTACAAACCCAGGTACAATCAATGTGATTGTCACATGCTCAGTTCTGCCGGTCACGCGTCATAATGTACCGGTGTGCACCTCGCGTCATAATGCACTTTGAGACTTAAATTATTATACTGTTTTTTCACGTATTCAGGAATTAGATAATCCGCTAACCTTATTATGACAACAATATTTACATAACAAACGACTGGAATGTGTCCTGACTTGGTAAATATTGTATTAAACGTCATTATGTTGATGGTATGATGTCATGACAGCCATACTCGTCAAGTATCCCAAATCCAAATGGTTATGCAAGCTTAATGTGTGATTCCTCCCTGCTTTCAGTGTATATATTTAAGAAATAGGCTACTTTTGATGCGTCTCTAACATCATTTCTAGGATGGTAATTTTGTTAAAATCTTTTACATTGTTTTTTTTACAAAAGTCTTGTACATTTTTACATTGTTGTTTTAAAGTACAACATATGTTCTTACACAACTTTGGAAATTTCACATTCATGTAAAGAAATGTTTTAAAGCTAAGTCAAATTGTTAAGTTTCTATAATTCAACAATATGGCAGCACTTTAGACTAGGGCTGCACAATACATCATTTCAGCATCGATAGCGCAATGTGTGCATTCGCAATAGTCACATCGCAAAGTTGTGCAACGTTGAGTTGACTTTTCAATGTAATTTTTACATTTACATACACAAAACCATTATGCATGCACTGTTTATTTCACATTTATGCTTGTAGTTTATTTATTACATGTTATGCGTGATTCATTTACTCCCCTACAGAATAATCCCAGCCAATCTAAATTAATACATTTGGAAACACTCTAGGGACCAATTCTCACTATTAACTAGTTGTTTATTAGCATGGAAGTTAGGCTTGGGCGGTATCCAAATTTTGAGACCGTCAAACCGCCTCCATATTTTACCCCGGTATCCGGTATTACCGGCGTAATAAAAAAAATTATGACGTAAGGCTCAGACAGCGTCACCAAACTGTTGGCTTGAGCCTAAACCATTCAGAAACTGCATAACTTCTATGCAATCTTAGGCTCGCAGTCAGAGAGGAGAGGGAGAGAGAGAGGGAGAGAGAGAGAGCGCCAAGCGACGCACAACACCCCTCTCTCTCTCTCTCTATCTCTCTCTCTCTCTCTCTCTTACACACGCACACATCTCTCCCGCGATTTATTCAGAAGTTTACTCCCACACCGTAAGAAATCTGGTCGCGGAACAGCAGCGGGAATGCAGGGCTGTAATCGGGCCATAAAAATTATACCCGATAGGTCCCGAGTCCGACAGGTACATTTTGATTGACAGCTTTATTAAGTCGAACCCGTTTACAGCCCGACATTATTCAAATGTGCTCCTGCACACAGCTCTAATGCATTTTTTTCAAGAATGAGTCATTTATATGTTTTAACATCATTTATTCGTAACAAACGTAGACTATAGGCCACTTGAAAGTTGGAACAAATAAAATAAGTCCTCTGAAACATCGTAACATCTCAGCACTCTAACACTTTGCCTTTAAATTGGCTAACACAATTTAAAAAAGAAATCGTGCTTAACAAATCAAATTAAAATAAACTCTAAATGATGACGGGTATTTTGGCAATAATGAAATTAAGATAAAGGCTCTGCAAGAATTGTTTCTCCATTTCTCTTCACAATCTGGCATTAGGGCGGCGGTGAAGCTGAATATTAAAAGAATAATGCCACCATTAGCCTGTATACTCTGTCTAAATTATGATTATATGGTTTTATTAATATTTATTTATAATTTTAAACCCTGTACTCACCAAGATTAGGCTACGTGTGTTTGTGGAGGAACATTATTAAATCCACTGGCTTTAGCGCAGTCCTGCGCTCACGGGCTCCTGCAGCTGAACACCCTTTCCTGCTGCTACAGGTCGAGATGCAGAGTTCTGATCTGGCAAGTTTTAGGTAGGTTTGTTTGTTCATCTTCTACCAGTCAGGAACATGCATTTAATTTGCCATGACAGCAGTTTCAGGGTAGCGAGTGGCCTAGTCATTTTACCTGTCAGCTTGCGGTTTAGGGCTCTACCGTAATACGCAGTGTATGTGCGACCGCGAAATACCTGCGGCTGGAATAACCGCTCTTTCTGAACTAGTGACTGGCTTGACCGCCGTCAAAATTCTCTTTTTTTTACTACTTCGTCATCATTTGCTTCACCTTTGCAGGGATGGATTTTAATGCAGGGATTTGGATTTTTTCGGGTCTCGCCGGGTTCGGGCAAAGATCTTCAGCTCTAATGCAGACCTCTCGTTCATATTAACCACGTCTCCCTTCTATTCATTCGAAACTGCCAAACTGCAGGACACTTTGAAGCGCCCCCCCTCCCTCTCACCCTCTCACCCTCTCCCCCTCCCTCTCCCTCATTCTCTCTCTCTCCTCCACACTGTCCCGTGATGACAACCACACATACGTTTTTGTAGGCATTAAATAAAGGATATTTAATATTTTATGACGGTATAACGGTATTGAAACTCACACCGTTTCTATTTTTAGATCCCGCGGTATACCATAATACCGTAATACCGCCCAAGCCTAATGGAAGTTATTGAAATATTGGCTGCTATTGTTCTACTAAAGCACGTTTTCTGTATGATCTTATTCTACATCCCTAATCTTGCCCAATACCTAAACTACCTTAATAACTTTTAATTAGAAGCAAATAAGGAGTTTGAAAAGTCAAAATGGTGTGCCAAGAACAGGAATTGAACAATAAAATAAAAAGTATATCGCAACATATATCACAGAAAAACAAAATATCACAATGTCAGATTTTTTTCTATATTGTGCAGCCCTACTTTCGACAATACAAAAAAAATATTTAAAAAGCCACTTTAATTCAATTAATGTGTTATTAATGGTAAATGTGCTGTCATTTTATGAAAGGAAAAACTATTCAGGCATTACAGATGTGACATTTGCAGTAAAATCTCAAAACATAAATTTATAGAGAAAGCAAATGTTAACATTATATTAACACATCTGTCAATATTTTCCAAAACAACTAACCACAGAGTTATAGAAGCAGAAAAATATTAATCTGTAAACATGTTTTAGATTTTAAATGAGGAAAATAAACATGCTTTATGGATGTGACAAAAAAGTCAATGAGTTTACAGCATACAATATACTTTGTAGAAATTCTTTGAACTAAACTGCACAACCCAAAAGAAATAATGCTTATCAAAAGCATAAGAGTTGGCTCTCTATAGAACAAAAATGATTGATTTCATTTTATTTGACATTTGTGGCATTTATGAGGAAAAAATCTTAATTATGGATGTGACGTCTCTCTGTTAATGGATGTGACCGATGTGAAATTGGCGCTGTTGTGATTTTGGTAAATCAAATGTAATTGTTTGAAAACATTAACAGAGACATTTTGAGTGGTTTTTAAAGAGCTGTAAAATACTTGCTTGCACAAATAAAGCAGAAACGGTTTCGCTATTTTGACGAAAACTAAATTTTTTCATGGCAAGGTTGACATTTGCATGGAATTGCAATAATGTTGTGTATTTCATAGGGCTGGGTGAGTAATAAAAACTATAATCAATTATAGGTTCTGAGTGTCAATTTCGATTAATTTTCAAGGTCCATTTTTTTTTTCAATTACTTTCCCTATCATGTGTGGAGTTTTGCGACCCTGCTCTGTTAAGGCTACTTTCTACTTATTATATTATGATTTATACTTATTATGTTATTCTGATATTATACTTCTGCCAAGCGCACACGTATACGGTCTGGCAAAGTCTTCGCATACCCGCGCACCTCTCAAAAAAATGAAAACTACACATCACAATGACACGTAGCACAAGCTTTGTGATTGGTCGATTTGGTAGCGGTGACAAGGGTGGGCAGTGAGGAGAGCCACGCTTTAGGCAATGTGTGTTTTAATTTCAGTTGATCAGCGTTGAGGTTCAATAAAAAATAATAGATGGTGTGTTTCCTTCAATTATTTTAAAGTAAATTAATGCACCCTTCAATCAAAAATCTCTCACTTGTAATATGTGAGCATATTTATTGTACAAAACTTGTCAGTGAACTATGAGGGCAAAAACATAAATAAATAAAATAATTGTTTATTAATCGTAAATAAGTTAAAATGTTCAATTAATCGAGTTTTTGATTTTAGGCCAAATCACCCAGCCCTAGTATTTAATTTATATTTTATATTTGTAAATGTTTGTGTACATACTCTGTCATTTATTTATTCTGTCATTACATATTCTGTCATTATGCATATGGTCAATAATCTTTTAATTCCACAAGTTTTCTAAGGACATGGAAAAACCTGTGGATTTAAAAATATTAGGGGATTTTGAAATGTGAGAATTAATCCTGGTTTTAAAAGATTAGGGTACTTTTGTTTTGTTCAACAGGTTTATTTAAATGTGCTTTTATTTGCTGCTCTTGGTTAGAATAATAAGTTTTGGAGCTCAAAAATATTTTCAGCATGCTGACATCTACATTTTTTGATAGCTTTGGTTTATGGACAAATCTTACTTTCATGCATTTATTTTCTAAGCAAGTAAACTGATGAGAGACCGTGTTATCTGAACATGTTATTTCAGAATGAAGCATCACCAGTGCACACTAGCTGAAGTGTTCTGCTGTTTATACAACATTATTAATGCATTTGTCTATAGACTGTAAAAACGGGCTGGTTGCCAAGATGTCAAAGAAATGTATGTGACTGAATAAATGAAGAGTTCATAGGTCACTGTGGCATTTTTGCTGACATAATAGGCTTACTCTGTTTTTCTTTTCTTTTTTCAGTCGAATCGTCTTGCCCGTTTCTGTTGAAGAGGTATGTACTGTATTTTTTCCATTTGGAGTTTTTATGGTTTTATTTATAAAACATTTCCATTTTGGTCTTGGCACAATTGTAAACACTCTTAAGGTTTCTGGATATGTTTTTGGCATAATGGCAGTTTGTCAGTTTCTCCAGTTTTTCAGGCTCCACCCAGTTTCTTTTAATGGGTAGGACAGTTTAGACTGTCAAATTGATGAATTGAAGCACTGCCACAACAGTTTGTGGGAAAGTGGCCTGGTTAACTGCATGCCTGTGTATAGTAGATGAGGATTGATTGTAATTAATTGTAACCCGAGACTAAGCTTATATCATTTTATCAAGTGTACTGTCTCAGCTCACCAAGCAAAGGTTGAATTTGTTTTGGCGTTGTAATTTCTTGCCCACCCTGTTGTAGTATTTGTTAATTTAGGCTGGGGTGTTTGATATTTGAATGCCTTTGCATGGTCATTCTGTGTTTGTCTTGTTTGTATAAGAACTCATTGGCGATAAAAGAAGTCAGTTGTTCTTGTCTACAAGGCAGTGAAAACAGACACAGGTTTGGCACGTGAAGTTGCATTCCTATCAGTTCACCTGTTCAAAAGACAGCATAATGTGGAGAATTGAATTACCAAACCAGATAAAACAGGAAAGATGTTGAGGATGCTGCATTGTGGAAAATGGAATCAGACTGAATGTCAGTCTTTTCACTGGTTTAAAAATAAATAATTTTTTTGACAAGTAATTTTGCTGGAATATATTTCAAGAGTTCACACTTCGATATGCGTGACGCTATTAGCAGGTTTGGCATGCTGTCCTGGGAGAGAACCCTGAGCTCAAAGATAATTGAGTCCAGGCTCCTGCCTGGTCAATAAGTATATAAGGGGGTCCGAGATCAGGTCTCGAGCTCACTCTGATAAAGGGAAGAAAAGTAGGAGATGAGGCGAAAGGGGGGGATATTCTTTCAAAAGAAAGATAAGGGAGTAGGGCGAATTTGGTCTATTTATTGTAATCTTGAATCAGTCTGATTGGATTATTGCTGATTACAGATGAGAGATCAGCCGTTATCAATCATATCACGTGCTCCTCTCGAAATTATTTCGTAAAACTTCACTTACTAATGTAAAAAATGATATTTACACATTAATATATCTGTACACTATAATTTGTCAGTTTGTAAATGTGTCCGTATTCATCTGTTTTTATATTTAGATGGCATAATAATCTGTTGCACCCTTTAATGTACATTTCTAAAACACAAATAATGTTTTGCATGTGCTTAAAGGCATTTCAAGAGAGTTTAAAGCATTTAAGTACAAGATTTTTACAAGATACAAGATATGTTTAATAAATAAATAAAAACAAAAATACAAGATATTTTTAATAAACAATACTTTTACTGAATTAAAACAATAAAGACTATACAATTTCTGCTCCTGAAAACCATAAAGCACAGTTTATTTAACTTTTTTCGTTGCTCTACTGTAATTATTTTGCTTGCAATTTGTTTATTATTGTCCAATACATGATTCAAACCCTTACAACATCACCCCAATCAATCTAAAATAATATCATTTTTATTTTAATACATATATTTAAATAGCTTTTTGAAAAAAAAAAATCATTAACACATTAATATATATGTACTCTAATATTGCTCAGTTTTTAAATGTATCATTATTCCTCTGTGCAACAGATTATGGCATCTACATATAAAAACACTTTAATGTACATTTGTAAAGCACAATTTTATAACACCTAATCTTTTTAAAGGCTACATTTAACAACATATTTTAATTGTTCATTATGTGCATCAAAGTAATAATTGCTTCTATCATCATTCTAAGTGTATTATTAGACGGCACCCCTGGTATACATTTTAGCAGTTATCAATCATTACATGAAAACAATAAAAAGCCGTATTCTGTATGTTGATTCATTATCAAATTTTCTTACATTCTAAATAAAGATTTACTTGTAGTATTTATGTAAACAAAATGGTTAATATCTGCAAACTTACTGGTTGTTTTCTATACTGCAAAAATATTTTTGTACTCCTACAGCCTGTTTGGGATCTTGGAAGCTTGTCAAAGCTCTTATGCATTTATTGGAGACATTGGATAACATTTACTTAACATTAGTTTCCCATTTTTATATAAGCATAACAGATTGTCAGGTTGGAACTTCCTTTGGTGAGCCATAAAAAAACGGACAACTGCAGTCTATATATGGTTATTTATCTATGCAGATGTTGAATCATCTTTCAGCACTTTGTGTAGCCGTGACATGCAAATGGTGGACATGACAAAACATTCTTTTGTTTGTCATTACGACATGTTATTCTATCATTTGCAATTGTAAGAAAATGTGTAAAATATTTAATATTATTCTGTGATCTGCAGTACCAGGTGGGTCAGCTGTACTCTGTAGCAGAAGCAAGTAAGAATGAGACTGGAGGTGGAGATGGAGTGGAAGTCCTAAAAAACGAGCCCTACGAGAAAGAGGATGGAGAAAAAGGACAGTACACGCATAAGATTTACCGCTTGCAAAGGTAATAATATTATTAATTATTCAGCACTATGCTGTACTGCATTTTGTGGTGATAATATTAAGCAGAAAACTGTTCATAGACTGTATCTTAGGGTTTTTCTATGGGATTCTCAATCTCTTTTTTTATATGCAGTAAAGTGCCAAGTTTTGTACGGTTACTGGCCCCTTCATCTGCCCTGATTATTCATGAGAAGGCCTGGAATGCTTATCCTTACTGTCGCACAGGTACTGCACACTATCTCACAACTTTACTGAATATACTGGAGAATTTTAACACCCTGACATGGAGCAAGTAAACGACTGATACAGATAAACAATGAAGTTTACAACTGTTTTTCTTATTTTTTTTATGTGCTGCTTGCATTGTCATGCATCACTTCAGTTCTTACGGTGAGTGTAATGAAACCAGTGTAAATCTGTTCATGTTTTTATATATATATATATATATATATATATATATATATATATATATATATATATATATATATATATATATATAATTTATTTTTTTTGTTAACTTAGAAAAGTTGGTTTCATATAGGTTGCTTTTGATTTATATATATATATATATATATATATATATATATATATATATATATATATTATTTTTTATTTATTTTTTTAAATACAGTAAATCTAAAATATTGTAAAATGTTATCGCAATTTAAAGTAAGTTTTTATTTTAATATATTTTAAAAATTTAGTTCTTTTCTAACCAATATTTTAAAGCAGTTATAGGATGCGGTACTGTTTCATTTTCTATAATTCTTCTTTTTAAATAATTTTCTCTTTTATAATTTAATATATTTTTTTTTCTTTTTAGAATTCTTTTTTTTTTTTTTTTTTTGTAAATCAAATCTGTTCTGTGTCTCTTTTACAGAATGAGTACATGAAGGACAATTTTCTAATCATGATTGAGACGTGGCACAAACCTGACCTTGGTGAACAGGAAAATGTGAGTAGGCAACCAACATTATGCAGATTATAATACACAGGACAACAAGAAGCAAAATTTGAAAACATTAATAAATCTTGCAAAACTAATCACATCCCTTCTGTTTTTTTTAAAGGTTCATAATCTTGACTCTGAACGATGGAAACAGGTTGAGGTGATACATATTGACATTGCTGACAGATCTCAGGTGGACACTAAGGTAAAGAAAATGCTCTTTAATTCAGATGCATAATTAAACTCATGTTTCACTTTTTTCGGTGGTGTAACAATAGTAGTCAGCTTGGACTCATTACTGTTTACGCTTCTATTGAAAGTGACATAGGGTGCTTTCACACCTGTGAATCGATTCAGTTGTTCCGAAACAGAGATTACTATTGCTACATTGTTGCTCTTTGCTCTTGGCGTTGTTCGCTTTCACACGGCAAAATTTCTAAACGGACCAAAAGAGCTAAAACAAGTCACGTGTGAGTAAACTCCCCTCACATTGGTCAGAGTTTCATGGTTTATATTGCAGAATCCTGCTCAGCTGTCAGGGGAGGTGGTTTTGTGGTGTTTGACAAGGTGCGTGCGACGTGTCTGAAGAGCGAGGAGGAATGCGGTGGGGAGGGCTGAAAAGGGTGCGCGACGTATTAAAGGCATTCGGGAGTCCCTGTGCTTTGCGGGAGACTCCTGAAACTTCCGGGAGACTTGAGATGTCTGTAATGAACTCCCGCCATACTCATAATTCTCTCTTCATATAGCCGTATGCATATTACATATCCATAAAACACTGTAATATAACCCAGCTCGGATCGTATCGCTTTCTCACTACAAACGATCCGCTCCAGAGTTCGTTTCAATCAAGCCAAGACCGCCTCATTCAAGCTATCTCGGAGCGATTGTTTTGGCGCGGATCCGAGAGCGATTGGTGGATTCAATAGAGTGCATTGATTGATTCAAAATGGTAAAGTGAGTGAAATATCTTTTAGCCACTAGAGGAAGCTACTTTGCTCTTTTCTTGTGTTTTGAAATGAAATATAGGATATATTAAATTTCTACTCAACAAAAGGGACTGATCGAGATGTATTTAGAGCTCTATTTTGAAGCTTTTACTTGTATAAAAAACTCATAGAGGAATTAATATCAACCACTTTATAAAGGATTTTTAAATAGTATATTGACGTCAAAAAGTATAAAGAACAAGTCACTCCCTGAGAGGACGAGTCACTAAAAAAATTTGAGTGAATCATTTAAGACCGACCTATTACTAGTGTAGGCCTAGACACTAGTGTGGTGGGCTTTAATATCCCTGCCTCTCCCATTTTCAAAATAAAAGTCTCACATACATAGTAAGTTTAATATAAGTTTAGAAAAACAAAAATAATTCTAATAATTTTTCTCACTTTATTCAGCAATGCCGAGGTATATCTATATTTCATTATATGACAACTTTAACATGCATCTCTTGTGACCTCTTGTGTTTGGATTTTGTTTTATTTTATCATGCTTTTTCGGGGTGCTCAAGACGATGCTCAAGTATTATTGAATGAAGGAACTGAAGTTACAAAAGTAGCTGCCAAAATGAACCATGACTAAACTATGATTTAGATGGTAATCGATGTGTTTTGGTACAACACAGCAAATATGGTATCCCAATATTGATAACTGATCACACAAAGTTAGTAGGCAGAGAGTAGCTAGTCTTTTGTGTTTATGTTTGAGCAAAAGTGTTTAGATTGTACAAACAGTCTAATTTGATCTAATGTGTTTTCATCATCCGGAAGTGCTTAGAAGAGGACTAGCTCAAAACATTTTAAACCCCATTTACACTTGCATTTAGTGTTATCCACTTGTGATTGGGTTTGCGAAAAGGTATAATGGGTATAAAGATACTGAAAATTGCTAATATTTCAAACTTTTCAACAGGACTATAAACCAGACGAGGATCCAGCCACTTTTAAATCACAGAAGACTGGTAGAGGCCCATTAGGACCTGATTGGAAGGTGCATTTTGATTCTGTATCTGAAGCTCCATTTATTTTTTTGTAGTCATGTGGCTGATCATGTAGTTTATGTGTGTTGCAGAAAGAGCTTCCTCAGAAGAAGGACTGCCCTCATATGTGTGCCTATAAATTAGTCACTGTCAATTTCAAGTGGTTTGGCCTGCAGAAAAAAGTGGAGGGTTTTATCCACAGGGTATGAAACTATGAAAACCTCATGCTGCATTCAATTTGACTCACTGCTTCTATGAACAAAATGTCTATTATAACATAACGGAGGTGTGGTTTAGAAAGATAAACAGTTAGTGTTTGTTCAATTTATTGGAGGGCTTGGTGTGCTGTTCTATTTATAATGCAGTGACTGACTACTATAACATTTATTGTTTGTTTGGTTTTACTTCAGCAAGAGAAGCGTCTGTTCACCAGCTTCCACAGGCAGCTCTTCTGCTGGTTAGACCGATGGATCGATTTGACCATGGAGGATATCCGCCGCATGGAGGAGGAGACACAGAAAGAGCTTGATAAGGTGAGTTAAAGGATTACAAAAAAATCCATTCTTCACTTGAGCCATTACACAATTTTTACAATTTTTAAAAAGCTGAATTAAAATGCGAGAAATTTAATTTAAATTTGGTAGATTTTCAACTAACTAAAAAATGATTTTAATTTAAGGTTTAGTTAATACTAAAATGACTATAAATAAAATAAAGCTATCATTCACCCAGAAATGCAAATTGGTTCATCATTTCATTGCTATATATATATATATATATATATATATTATTATTATTATTATTATTATTATTATTATTATTATTAATATTATTTATTTTATTTTTTTTTAAAGATAAATAAAAATCGTACTTATGTTTATCAATTTAAAGATAATGAATGACATCTAGCGTTTAGCTTTTGAAAAGAGACACAAAAAACTTCGTTTCGGAGTGGTCCCATGCAGCATGTGCCATTAGTCTGTAATTTAATAAGAGCAGTGGAAAATAAAAACATCAGGGTGTTCAGTATTTCAGTTTTTTGGTAATGATGCCTTTATTTCTTTATTATTATTATTATAATTATTATTGAAACATTTCTGTTTTTGAAAAGTTATTAAAACATTTCTATTCACCGCTGATGCAGTAAAGATTCTTGTTAATAATACTGATCAACTTTGGTCAGGGGAGATATTTTTGTGGCTGCATTGACAAAGTTGTGGCCGATATCCTCAAGATTATATATTTTATGTCTTAACAAATAATTGCTAAATGGCAGATATTGTCATTTTATATTGTTTGTGCCGAAAGAAATTAAAATTAAATCTCTTCACTAAAATTCTAATGTAATTGATTGCATTTAGGCAAACGCATAATGTAAAGTATGACATTTTTTATCTGCTAAAGATCACTTTTATCTATGTTGTTAAATTATTAAAATTTAAATATGAGCTTTACGTGGCCTTTTTCCTTTTTTGCAGATGCGAGAGAAGGATCCAGTGAAAGGGATGTCTGCCGCAGATGAATGAGGTGCTGCAGTTGGGACTGTGAGTGTGATTTAGTTTTGGTGAGCTTGTATTAGTTGTAACTTTATTTTGCTGTGCTGTTTGCATGCTTTTCTGCTATTGTAGCTCATCTGCTTCAATGTTGGATGTGCTAGGAAATGCTCTTCTGCAGACCTCGGTTATATTAAGTGGTTATTTAATTACTGTAACCTTTCTATCTTTTCCAACTGGTCTGTTCATTCTCTGGCATCAACAAGACATTTTTGCACGCACAACTCATTGCATTTTTTTTTATTTTTTTGCTGTTCTTTGTAAACACTAAAGATGGTTGTTTTATAGAAATTTTAGTCAATAAGTGGCTTCTGGAAACTCATACCAGACCATTTGTTGCCAAAAATAACCCAGGCTCATTGAAAATGCATGTTTTAAGCCTACAATTTTACAAAATGTAAAATGCGTCGCTCCGGCCATGAGTTTTTCGATGCATGTTTCAGATGACATCTACTAGAGGACGCTCTCGACAGTTTTGCAAATCTGAAATGCATTACTTGGGATAAGTTTTGATATACTCGTCAGATACACATCCTTTTTGTGCAAGTTCACAAGATGGTAACACGTGCCATACAGATCACTTTGCGTACGACTGACCTTAACGCAACCAGTAGTGTTTTCAAAAGCAATTGTAAGAGAAAAGTGCACTGCGGCCACATTGCGGCCACACTGCTTTTATCTGTTTTGTGGGACCGTGCTTTCCAGAACTTGAACCAAAGCTCTCTTCAGCCCCAGTACAATAGTACAAAGTGAGCTACTCTGCAAACTGACCACACCAAAAAAATGGAGATGCAAACGTATTTGAGCATTAAAAAAAAAGATGTTTTGTGGTATTTATTAGGGAAGAACTGCACACAAATAATCCTATATTTGTTGATGATGCAACCCTGTAAACCTACTGCAATCAATGGCGAAATGCGTTATGTGCTTTTATAATGTAGGCTGAAGCATTTATGTCCAATGAGCCAGTGTTGACCATCACCAAAATCTTTCTGCCTCAATCTGAGACTTAATTTGAAGTTCAGCAGATCGTCTTGACCAGGTCTACATGTATTGAGTTGCTGCCATGTGATTGGATGATGAGTGTCTTGCAATATTAAGCAGCTGAACAGTGATGCCTAATAAAGTGGCAGACACGTGTATAAATAAATGTTTGTATTTCTTCTTTTTCAGATGTCTGCAGCTGTTTGGCTGTGTCCTAGTATTGGATCGTTTCTCTACAGTATGATTGGCTGTTCTTTGTCTTCATCCTTCACTCCAGTAGTTTCTCTTTATCCACCTCTGTACAAAGAACATCTCATCCTGTGATGTTTCTGAGCATTTTTTTTTTTTTTGGTCTAGTCCATTTTCCTCAGATTTCCTCTATTTTGATTTTCAAACTCTGTAATTGCATTTCCATAAATGTTTACCCCCCTTTTTTGTTTAAGTTCAGCAACACCAGCACTCGTGTATTTAAACACCCCGTCACTGCTTGCATCTCTAGCATGTTAACATGCTTCTCAAACAGATGCTCCACCCTTAATATATTTGCTTGAGGCAGCTTCATCTTGCACAAATAAAAAAACTCAAGATGAAGCTGCCTCATGTCAAATGACCATGAGTTGATCGTATTAGAGGGCTGCAGCTGACCCATTGTTACTCATAAGCCACTTTTCTCAGGACTTTTTGTAGATCTTAAAAGACTGAATTTGAATAATGTGGTAATACCAGGTTTACAGTAATGAAGTAATGGTAAGCTTACTTCAGTTCTGCTGGACTTCCAAACAGGGTCTAGAGAAGTAAACATTGTGTTGTGTTGGAGATGTATTAGCACAAGGTTCACTTAAGGATTTATTATGAACTGTATTCAGATGTTTAAGTGTCATTCTGCTGCTCTGTCCTCTCCAAGACTACGTTTACTGGACATGGATACAACTCGTTTCATAATTGTGCCTCGACCCAATAATGATATTAAAAAGAGTTTATATTATTGTTGTCAGTGGTATGCATTTACTTATTTGGATGAAGTGCGACAACTCATTTAGAAAATACTTTTGTTCTTACATTATATATATACATTATATAAATATAAAATTTACGGTGAGCAAAGTAAATTTTAGACTTGTTATAGACATGTTTGTTCTATTGCAAAATCAGTAGGTAACGAGTATTAGCATACATAAAAGCATCCCATTGTCTTTTAAAGCATGAACAAGACTTTAAAATCCCTCTGCAGTCTAAACAGTCAAATAAGATGAGCCTCAAAGTGCGAACTGTATGTATTCAGATGTTTTTAAGTAGTCTACACCAATAATAATTGCAGGGCTTTAAAGCTTTGTTACTGGCCAGTTGGTCATTAGCATTTTTTGCTTATTCAGACCTGAACGCCCGAGAATGGTGTGGTTTAGCATGATTATCTAGTAGCTAAAACTATTGTAATTATAAAAATGTCAACAGTGTCATTATTAGGCCTATTATTATTTTTTCAATGTGGTCATGTCATTGGCCCGTGAATTCCTGCTTTACAAACCATTTCATGACTGTAAATCATAACAATGTCAAATTAGCCATCATGACATTAGTTATCAATTTGTGGCTCTTTTTGGATTCTCAGAAGCTCTAGAAATTAAAAATGTAAAACAGGAAATATGTTGAGATCATTGATGCTGTTTACATCCTCAAATTAGCGTTTTCAGTGTCTGCGAACATCACTTGTCATTATTCTGCCATTAAAATTGTTGGTGTTTAACTGTTGACGTATTAAATAACGTTTTATTGAAAGTTGTAAGTATTTATACTTTTGTCATAATTACAGTGACATAAGCAGTTTATTTGATTAATTATAAAAATGTATTTCAACCGCATGTTTATTCAGGGAATAATGCATACAGTTTCATAACCAGTAAACTTCATCACCAGCCTTTGCAGGTGTGACGTTATTTGGCAGAACTTAAATTAACAGCACCAACCTAATGGCGATTAGATGTAGGCAGTTTAACACTGTAACAAATAAATTAATTCAAATATTGTAGTCCCGGTTATGTCCACACATTTCTATTGAAAAAGTGCAGTAATAATAACTAGATTATTAAAGTTCGTCAGGACAAATTTTCAGGCTGGCTTGAGAAAGCCTGTTCGTAAGAGTTTATTTAAAAAGGATAGATAGATAGATAGATAGATAGATAGATAGATAGATAGATAGATAGATAGATAGATAGATAGATAGATAGATAGATAGATAGATTATAGTAGTTTGAAAAAGTACTGACAGACAGAGATAGATTCAATGTTAAGTCAATGACAGTCACTTAAAATGGAAGTCTATGGGATAGTTGCTAGGGGACAGTATCTGGTTGTTAGGGGTGTGGCTAGAAAGTTAAAAGGCCATCAATGATTGGCTGCTGGCTAGACTGAGTTAAATGAGCTCAGCCATTAGTCTGTAGGACAGTCTGGTGCAGAGTTATGAGCTCACAGAGATGGATCCAATTTAAAGTCAATGACAATCTTTGGAATGGAAGTCTATGAGACAGTTTCTAGGGTCCCATAAGTGGTTGCTAGGGCGTGGCCAGAAAGTTAAAACTCCTCAGTTACAGACAGGTAGTCTGAGTTAAATGAGCCCAGCTAGAAGTCTGTGTGACAGTCTGATGCAGAGTTATGAGGTCACAAAGTTTGGTTAAGTCTACAGGATTTTTTCGTCGGCCCCGCAATGTTTTTCGGAAAACCAAAAGTCGGATTGGTCGTAAAAGATATAGCACACCGAGTCAGACCAGTTTGGAGGTCTGGTGTGAGTTTGGTGGTCATAGCTCAAAAGCTCTAGAAAGAGATACTTTGATTTTTAGTCTCAGAAGAAAAATAGGATTTCAGTAGTCTGGCTTGCTTTCACAAGCCAGCCTAATAATAAGCAGTGTATGTTTTAATTAAAATCGCCTTACCTTAAGTCTGAGGTAACGTTAATTAACTTGGCTAATTTCTTCAGTGGGGAGTAGTAATCCTTAACTATTTGGTGGAAAATAAGGCTCCATAGTAATCATGAAGCTATTTAGTACAATCTCTCAAGATGTTTAAAATATTTTAGCAAAATTTAGTTCGAAGTAATGTTACAAAAAATAAATCTGTAAATCTGACGTGGAAAACCAGCTAAATTCGGCGGGAAAATGCATCAATCATGCATAAACAATCCTTGAGGTCCCAGCAGGCCCGGCGCTACGAGGGGCAAAGGGGGGCATTGCCCCCTCAGAAAGAGTTTGTGCCCCCCAGTTTTTATAAAGGATTGTTCACTCAAACTGAAAATTGTTTCTGTCATTAATTACTAACATCCCCATCCTTCCAACCTTCAGAACACACATTTAAATATTTTTAAATATATGACCTAGCAATTGAATTATGAGAATGGCTATATCATGATGAACAGTGCTTTATAATAACAATAATAATTCCTTACATTTCTATAGCACTTTTCTTGGCACTCAAAGCGCTTTACACATAGCGGGAATCTTTTCATCTACTTTTTCATTTATGCAAGAAAGAACATTACTAAGCTATAGTATGAACAAAGAGGGTTACATAAATATAATTCCAGCAAGTTAAACAAGTTTAAATGATTTACACCAAGAAAGCGTTTTAAATGCAGTGTAATTGTTAGAGTCTTTTAAAGAGTTCACATAAATTTCAAAGTCATGAAAATAAAAAAGTAAGGGTGTTTCTTTGAACATTTACATTTATGGATGTAAAATTTTGTTTAAAAAAGCAATAAATCAATAATAAATTTACAATGAAAAGGATCTACACTCAGAGAGTAACCAAAGAATACAATTTTTGGAAAATACAGAAGTTTGGAAATAAGAATTTTTTAATGAAATTGGAAAAGTCAACCCAAAACACTTTACAGTAAGTACACTCCCAAAATAAATGGTTTAGAGTTTAATCATATTGAGAACAAAATGAGCATTTAGGGGAAATATTGTTATTAAATTTAGCTAGTTTGGTATTTATTGAGTAGCAATCTCCTCATCTACCACCAGTGTAGCATCCACCTGGATGAAGCGACAGCAGCCATTTTCCACCAGACCGCACACCACAGAGAGAGAAGAAAGATTAATGAAGCCAATTATGATATGGGGATGGTTAGGACTAGGAGGCCTCGATGATGGACAGAGGCCAGTGGGTAAATTTGGCCAGGATGCCAGGGTTAAACCACTACTCTTTTTCGAAATACATTCTGGGATTTTAGGGTATATGCTGAAGCATGCTAATAGGACTTTTAATTTGCCAGTAACCTGTGTTAAGCGCTTCCGGCGAACTGTAACGTTATGCCAAAGGAAAAATCTGCACGTTTTTTAAGGTCTGTTTTCTTTAAAAAATCATCTCCACTGGCTGAGTGATATCCGATATGAAGTGGGTCTCAGATTGTACTAGAAGCACTGCATTAAATTACATTTTCTCCGCCATGTCTTTATAATATGAGCATTTATTTTACCCCAGCGCTATCCTGCCGATCCTGACGGGCGAGTGCGAGTAAAAGGCCATTTGTCTGGTTTTACGCTTGAACAACTGAATGAATGCCAAAGTTTATTTAACTGAATGTATTTTAATTACATTACAACATGAATGCTGTAAAAGGAACCGTATAAAATGGAAAAAACTCACAATAACCGGTCACCGGAAGTGTATAGGTATATGGGAACAACACTAGCTCGGCATATACCCAATTATATTCATCTGTCTCCATATTCTACTGCATCCCAGAATATTACACAGCACCAAAAATGTAAAAAATATACATATTGAATATGTTTAATATATTTTTGTGTAAGGCAGAGGGCAACTCGCCGTGACGCAGATTCCCGAATCTGTGTCCTCCAATCAGGTGAGCCCTCTTCAGCGCTCGCCATGACAACGAGACAGCAGTGACGTGCCTTGTAAAAATTTGCATCTGTACTCCTATAAAGCTTGTGTGCTCTATCAGCGTTGTCAGTTCGTTCGGTGTTGCTGTTTTTACTTGACCAAGGTGAGTTCAATACCGACGGGTACGAGTGGAGCCACGCCAATCTTACGAAGTCCTCTTCGTGAAGCTTCACTCGGGCCCGTCTGTGCTGTAGTTCCCTGTGGTTTGCGTACATAAACGTAACATCGCAAAGAATATTACGTGTTTGTTGCTCGAAATGTGCCGCCGAGCAACATCCAGTGAATACTGGCACGGCCTGGCGCCCGGTCTTCTCGTGCACTCCCTGGGGCGAGGCGGCCTTTGAGCCCTAGGCAGGGAACAAACAACCCCCGAAGACCCTCAGGGAAACAAGGGGGGCCGGTAGTGGGACCTCGCTGCGAGGGTTATGGTGGGTGGGAGTAGCGAGGCCCAATCATCGTCTATTTTAAACTATAGTTTCAAACTTTAGTTTACTATAGTTTGAAATAGACACCATGGTTACTGTTGTGATTTAACTTCATGCAAAGAGCTTAGAATGACCAAGAGCACCAGCCCCGGATTCTGCCGTTTTGAAGTGAAAACGATCGGCCGTCCATTGGATCTTATTGCTGTCGCAATGAAAAGCAGCTGCTTTATTTTTATTTAATTTATTCAAAAAGCGCGCTGTTGTTTCCCAAATTGTAAAGTGTCGCCTCTTGGTGATTCTATGCTCTTTGTCTGACTGCTGTAATGTTTTGCTTTGTTTTTCAGCTAAGCTGTTGAGCAAAGAAGGACCATTGAAGACAACAGTTAAAGACAAGCGCGGGTTATATTCACGGACGCGCGCGTTATAATGTTTCCGGGTTGTTTTCTGAAAGTTTGTCTTGTTTGCATGTCAAACTAAATAAACTATACTCTTTCTAAACAGCTGTCTCGTGTTTTATTTGTCCTCTACAGCAATGCACTGTCATGTAAGTCTGTTGAATGCATTTGTATGCAACATGGTTTGACAATGCAGTAGTCAAACAAATAACTGGTTGTTATAAATGGACCTTCATTAGTCAACATTTGGTGTAGGTAATAAAAAGTTAAT